ATTAACAATTTTCTAATAAATTCATTTCAGGGAGAAAGAACTGATGGCTATGTCGCTGTTGATCACACAAATCAAGCCATAATTGCGTCGTTTTCAAGTGTAGCATCAGGGAACAAGTTGGTATGTCCAACCAAATTTTCGTTTCGTAAAAATTGGCAATGTCAGCGCTGCTTAAGGCTTAGAGTTTTGTCCTTCTCCTACTTATAAAATGTGCAGTGATGGCGGCATGTGCTTCAGTTCCCCTCTTGCGCATCGCCGATAAAAAGTGTTGGAAGACGACTATTCTTTCGAAAATATAAGAATATTCCTTAAGAGATTCAACAGCTGAACGCCTTTTACCCTTGTAGATGAAGTTTCACACCGTCAGTCATTAGATTCACAGCTCATTCTGCGTATCACTTTTCTCTATTTTTTAAAATCGCATTCCACTATGTAATAACACGAAGGTTATACCAAGTGTGAAGAAGAACAAATTTTGCATGTTAGTTTAGACTTCTAAAGAATACTGAGACATCAATCTCGAAAAATTCCATTTCCGGGAAAAACGATGTTAGGAAACGCTGAATATAGCCAGAAATCAAAAACATTGGGCATTTTGGAAGAATGGTGGGAAAGACAAATTTAGGCATGATGCTACACTAGTACGTGGATGTTGAGGATGGTCGCTGAATTCTAGATGTGGAGGAAAACCTAAGTAATACATGACTGAAAAATTCAGCCTTTCATTTTTGGGCCACCTCGTCGAGTTCCGCAATAAACTTTATTAAAGGAAGTAAAAACCATCAACATCTACAAGTCTTTGACAAAACACAGATTTGTTAGTTCCGTCGAAATGATATGCTCGGTTTCTGTAGCCTACGAGTCGTTCTTTTCCTTTTCTTTTTGTCGTCGACGCTCGAGCAGCGAAAAGGTGAAGAAGTGCAATTCCGTCCAGCAGGGCAGAATGGTGACGCAGAATGGGTCGTTAACCTATTCACGACAATGAGCAGCGACAACTGATAGGTATTTTTTTTTCAACACACCATTCTCATGCCTGCTATTCCGTTGCAAAACAGAATTTTTCACTGCAGTCTCAATAGTTTCTCCACGACATGTTGGAAAGACATATTGAAGGAGAGCTTTTTACACAAACTACTTTACAGAAGCCCCACAAGTTCAACACTTATGCACGGACACCTTTTCGCAATGATAAGTTGAAAAGTCACTGAGGACACGCAATAGACGCAATTGCAATGCAGATATATACTCGGCGCCATTGAAATGAATAGTGGTTAGAAGTCTCGCTGTTTTCAGTGTGCCTTTTTAGCATTTAATCCTACTGGATGTCTTTTGTAATCGTCACATATCCTTAACACTCGTTGTATCGAACTTCCACTAATACTTTGAAAACGTTATGCACAAAATCATTCATTTCATTCAAATAGAATTTGAGCTTCTTGCATATAATATAGCGCTGACAGCCATCCACTCGCTTTGAACATAGAATCCACACATCGATCATGAATATAGATTTTATACATAAAATTTTACTTTTTGAGTTTATAATTTGTAATCAGTATTAAAGCACTCTAAACAATATTCTTTGTTGGTGTTGTTGGTAGATGGTCCATCGATCAACAACACCAACAACAACGACAACGGCCTTGCATCAGCTCAAGAAGATTTATTACATGGATATAAAGATGTAAAAAGATTTATGGGTTTATAAAATCATATAAGTAAGTATGTCAGCTGTTTTTGCAAAGGTTTACAAGAAAGTCGGCTTTTTGTATAATCTTTGTTGCCATAACGTTGCTGAGATATTTGCAAAACTCCGGACCGTTGTTGTCTGCTGCTGCTACCGAATACGCTACCTCTATCCAACCTACTCACCACCACACAATGCGAGACCTTCGTTTCGTTTGCCTCTCAGCCGTCTTTGCAGTTACTACTTGGCACGCTTTATCTGTTCTCTTTGTCTGCATTTGTTGCGCCGCTTGCAGTTATTACTAACCTGCTTACTACGCTTTATGGGAAATTAAAGTCGTCATATTTTGCCAACAATTTATAACAGGTTATACAGGGTCAAATTTTTTTTTGCGTCATGATTATAGAACATTGATCACGCAGGAATTGACATAACGTAAAGCAAAAATAGTTGATGTTTTTTCCAAATTGTTGTATACTGTAATATACCGGACGTTGTGAAAAGATCAGCATCTTCCTATGGATTTACTTGTTTCCCTTCCTTCCCTTCTTCGTAACTTCGGTTATCATTCTTTCCACTCACTTCCTTCAAGTCGCTAGAGGCGGATTACAAGAGAATTTTTTAGTGTATTCAATAGATTCTTTCACCCTTAATGAGAAAAAAAGTGATGTGCGATCGACAATTAATTGATAATCTCTTCTTTAATGCCACTGTTATAAGTCATAGATTGTATGGAATCCATGGAAAACGTGGTAAAACATCAAGCGTACTTCACATATCATGAAAGAGATTGCCAAGCGATAGTAGCATGTTGTTAGAGAGTGGACGGTTGTTTATCAAACACAAGAGTTAAAAAACAAAAAAAAACAAAAACAAAAAAACAAAAAAACATGAAGGAATACATATAAGAAGACAAAGAATACATAAAAAAAAAGCACAAAAAGCAGAGGGAATATGTGAAGACAAACACAAGGAAGCCGGAATGGTCATTTTTGGCGCGTAATGTGTCCGGGTCACATTGATATTAATGCGTATCGTATGCAGAAAAAAGTACCCCGTCCATTCCATGCATGCGCCACCGAAAATTACTAATTATTAGTAAGTGTTGTCGCAAATGAGTCACTGTCGGCTTAAGGTTAACCCATTGCTCTACGGATAGCGCACTGTGCGGTTGAACCAACGGAACAACGCTCAATTTTTCGTCGGCTTTGGACTTCCCAGTTTTTTTGGGCTGCAAAGAGTCTTTCCTCAAAAAACCGAGAAGTTGAGACTTTGTGAACATGACAAGATTGTAGAAGAGAATCTAACCTATCTTACTATGAGTGTGAATGATATGTATGCTACTATTTACAACCTGTCACTGTGGTCCATATTGTTCCTCTGTTGTCACCCCTTACAATCTGTTTTATGGTGATAATGTACCCTGTAGCATCGAGAAGCCGTAAATCGCAGTTTTCATTTTTGTTTACAAAACGACATTTAGTTCTTAGCTGCGAAAGTAAGATTTTGCAGAACAACTAAAGGTTATGGTCGCTAGAGCTCAATTTGTGAATCGATTGAGGCAGTAACCGTGACTCCTCAAATTTCTCATACGAATCACTGATATTTTGGTTTTCCATACTTTTTTATTTTACTTATTAATTTAAAACAGTGAAACATAGTGTTCTGAGCAAACGGTGTGGGCTTCCTAGCCATTGATTTTGTTCACATGTCGCCATCAAATGCACTAATTTTCCCGAGCTCGATAGTCTTACCCTAATGTTTTTGCCCAATTTCAGGATAACACTAAATTATTTTCAGTTCTACACACATTTCAATACAGAGTTTTTCACCAACAGACAAGCTCAATTTGAGGGATCAGACGGCCTTGTGAATAGGTAAAGAATGGTGTGCCTGAGATATTATTACCTTGCGGTTATGTGGAAACCTTACGACTAATTGAAGTAAAATTTCACATGTCATTCATCATCGTCTTTATACTTCTGTTATCATTCTAAGCTACGATGGTGGCCATAAAATAAGAGATTGAGCACGACGAGATAGTTTGGACGACCACGTATTGTGCTAGAAATTTCACCGACACACCTGTCCCTTATCGCCTTGCTAATCGTCCAGGGATTCGTGAATAGATTATTAATTTCTCTATATCTCGTGAAGAATCCTTCTTCTGTAAAGGTGGTGACAAAATCTCAATTTCTGGTTGACTCACTCTATATTACTTACGTCGTTCAATGTTCACAAATTAGATTGGTGGTCTTTCATTTGTACTCTTAACATTTCGTGGCAAATGAGTACTTATCCAGAGTTCTCATAAGAACGCATTACTCTTCCGGATCTCCTGCTTTTCGGCATCTTGTTGTTTTCCAGCCCTCTTTATTTTCCATTGCTAACGTAGATCGGATCTCCTAATTCTCTCGCCAATCAGTTCATGCGGGTGGTTCAAGCATCATACTTTCCATGCGGTTTCCCAAAATGGTGGCCGTACTTCCATGCAACGGTCGCGAAACAAAAGAGTTGAAAGTGGAACCTGATATCCTTAGAGTTTTCCACGCCATCTTCAGTGCTCTTGTAAGTCAAGCACATTTATTTTTGTTTATCCCTAGAACTAAGCCGCTCACTTTGTTCAGCTATGTTCAGCGATAATCGTTCCAATGAGCACGATTGAAACGCTAGGAATGCGGTTATCCCAAAAACACCATGTCGTCAAAGTTCATATAAAGCCTGATTTTCCACAAGAGCTTTCGTAATCTGCCAAAGCTCGTTCAAACAAGCTGAAGCTTGTTGATATATTATATCAAAAATTGGTATGAAATTCAACAAACCGCATATTACCGCTGTTTTGCGATTTCCCTCTTGAACCATGCAGCTTCCACTACTTTATCTTTACTGAAAGTTTTCTAGGCAAGGACCCATTGGTTTGCATGTAAAGCTCTAAAAGAGTGGAAAATTAGTTTGGTAATATCTTGAGTTAGTAATGATACGTCGACTCCATTACTGAACGTTCCACATGTAGATTCTTATGTCGACTAGTCGAGGACGAGAGTTTTGTGGCATCTTGCAGCGGATGGTCTTGGTCTTCATAACAAATCTATTGGATTGTTCAGAAGTAAATAAGCGTTTCGGAATATTTAATGTTCTAATGTATTTTTCACCTATAAGGTATTTTTACACTTTATCAAAAAATAAATTTTTTCACCAATTCTGAGCTTCGCTATTTTAGATGTCAAAAAAGAATTTTCGTAAAATTTTCTTTTACGAGTTTAAACTCGGTCGTAGTGCAGCAGAGAAGGCCCGAAACATTAACGAACTTTAGGGTAAAGATAGTGCATGTGAATCAACAGTACGAACTTGTCCTTCCTTCTGTTCCTGAAATTCCGATCTCACCTCAAGATAAGGAAGGCCGTGGACGTCCCAATGAACTTGACCACGGCGAATTGAAGGCACTCGTGGAAGAAAACACGTGAACAACTGTTTAAGAGCTTGCAGAACATCTTAGCGTAAGCACAGAATCAATTTCCACTTTCCGGCACTAGTCAACAGGAAAAGACCAATCCTTTACCACGACAACGCCCGACTTCGCGTTGCGGAACCAGCGCTGCAGAAGTTGAAAGAGTTAGGCTACAAAATTTCATCTTTTTCGCCATATTCGCCAGACCTTTCGCCTACCGACTCTCACTTCCTCAAGCATTATGGCAACTTCTGCGCGAGAAATGCTTCACCATCCACGATAACGCAAAAAAAATGCCTTCAACGAATTCATCGCTTCCAGAACTCCGGAATTCTATGAAACTAGAATAAATAAGTCTTTCATTGGAAAAAATGTCTAAATTCAGATATTTTTAATTTTGTTAATAAAGTTTTGCTTAAAACAAGTTGTCACATTTTAAAGAATATAATTAAAGACGTCCGTTTGTTTTTGAACAAATTAGTGGATAGTCTCTCACACTTCTTGTTTCACTGTAGGTCTCCTTATGAAGCTTTTTGGACGTTTGCTGAGACCAGTAATTTTTCCGTCATTGATGATGTTAGAGAAGGACGACCTTGTAATCTCCATAAAAAAGCTTCAATTTCAATTCCTTTAGTGGTGTATCGCTAACGAGAACAATAAAATCAGACATTGCACCACATCTAGTCAGATGTTATCGCCCATCCGGAGTTGTTACCTTTTAGAAGAAATTCATGCTTGATACTAAAGCTCGTGTTGACGATGACACTTTGTACTGCCTATGCTACAACATCCGCTACTCTTTCGTTCCACTTACTTGATAATTGATACTTGTGCGGCTCGTCCTTACTAGTTGTGCGGGCTCCAGCATAATAACCATTTTTCGGAGATTTGCGGGTTAAGCTATTGTGGTTTCCTGGAATTCCGAGGTTTGCCTAGACAAAGTCCGCTCCAGATCACCACCACAGCCAGTCGCAGCCCTTGTGGATCAGATGGAGATTTGCCACCATGCGACTTTGATACAAGGACGGTGGTGGATCTTGGTACTGGTTTACTCTTAGCTAGGCATCCTGATTGAAACGCCGGACTCCTCAGTTTGGGAGACCCTGGCGGAGAGACGATTCCTCCTGCTGTACATCGCAGTCCGACACCCAGGAACACCTTCCAGCCACGATGAGGCGGTAAACCGTTGAAAGGTAGTTCTGTCGTTCTACTAGGAGGGGAAATGTCTACTTTTTTATCTGGAGGATATTGGATATGCTTTTAGGCATTTCTTGAAGAAAACACAGAGCTTAATTATTGGATATGATTTTGTATTGCTTTACGTGAACTTATAATAGCCGCGAGACAACTGTCGAATAGAGTTCAATCTAAGCGAGTGGTTATAGACAAACCTGAATTAAGCCAGGCAACGTTCTTCAAATGAGTGCAAAGTCCAAAACTCCTTTTGAAGATTTTTGAAATCGGCAACGAAATTGCTTTTCGAAGCTATCTTACCTATATTTGATACCAATGGAATTTGTCATTTTATCTTTCTTTAATAGAAACAATAACAAAAATCGGCCAACCTGCATGTTATGGGACAAGTGGAGTTGTTTTCATAATGGTAATGAGCATGTAAAGGTTAGCTATGCATTCAACCACCTGCAACAATGCTTGGTGAAGTTGAATGCATGGTGCATCCCTCAGGATTTGATCAACACAGAGAGCTTTATCCTTTGTTTGTCCTTTAATGAACATTGGTTATTATTTGATTTAAGATCCTACGAAAACCTTGGAATTGTCGTAAGACTATCACTCAGATTAAATGCTGTGTGATATATAAGACATAAGCTTTCCACTTTGCTTTTGCTTTATTATTGTCTACTCGCTTGAAATTTTCACAATAAAATACGTTTGTTAAGGTTTCTCTATGACAGCTGGTATAAACTTTGGTATATTATGGGAATGGAGAGAACACTACATACCCTCGTTAAAAACTACACAACCTTCGAAATTTGGGTAAGAAACAATGGATTCGTTGAGCGCTAGCGTCTTGTCTGCCGAATATTATTATCGGGATTATTATTGCTAAGAAAACTGATCTGATTTTCTTGAAGCCTAATGAACCATAAATGCACATTGTTTCGAAAACTCTAAAGCATACCGTGAAACGAGAATACTCTTTATTTTCTTCCGAGGTCATATTAGCTTTCATGTGTGTGTAGCTCGATGCAAAATGTTGTTTATTTCTGAGTTAATTCAAGGAAAACTTCCTTGAACTCTACGTTTATGCAGTAGGGAAGAACACAAGCACTGAAGTAACAATTTACTTTTGAAAAAAGAATTTTTCAAATATATGCCTTTAGTAATATGTTAATGTGTTTCCTTCAGTTCTTCGGACATTCACTTGGTGGAGCGAAAGCGGAGATGTCTGCTTTGTCAATGCTTTTCAAGAGACTGATCTCACAGAACAAAGTTCGCCTTCTTACGTTTGGATCGACTCGAGTCGGAGATATGTCGTTTGTTCAACTCATTGAAACTCTGGTTAGCAAAAATTTTAGTGCAAGATAACAATTTGGTGTTATCATCTTTTAACAATGCGAGGGTGTTTGTTAGAGATCACCAAAAATTTTTTCAATCTTTGTACGTTCTTCATTATTTATACAGAGAACCAATGATGAGAACCAATTCTGGGAGCGATCACGAAATCTTTCTCACGTCATTGTCTAACACCGTTAATGTATTCTGCTTGGCAAACGTGTCTATATTTATTTTCTGACTTCAAATATTCGCTTTCTATTCTTCTCTACATTAGGTTTTTTTCTCATTGCTGATTTGTAGGTGCCTTACCGTTTCCGAATTGTGCACGGTCGTGATATGGTGCCACACTATCCTAGAAAGTTTGATGGTGAATGGACTCCACCACATCACCATCGCTACGAAGTAATTGTTTTTATATTGGAAAAAAAACTTCTAAGCAAACGTTTATTTTGCTATTTAAGGTGTGGTATCCTAATGGAATGCGTCGTGGCGCTAAGTATGTTGTCTGCCTCGGAGCGGAGGATCCTCAGTGTAGTTGCCGATTATCTCCATGGGAAATACGTGCTTCTGACAACGACATTTATTTTGGACGGAGTATGCAGCACTGGTTTGCCTTCTTGATCATTTCCGCAGCTCTAATCTTTTGCCAGTATTCTTCTCACCTATAATTACAACATATTTTAATATGGAGTTTTCGTTCGCAGAAATTGGTGCAAAATATTTTCAAAGCATTTCTTAAATGACTACTCTAGCACGGCCTTGCTCTAAAAAAGATATTTTGGATATTTTCACATTTCAAAGGCAACATAAGAGCGGACCATCTGGTCAAGCTTCAAAGTCTGTACCAAAAATAGACAGTTTCTTTTTTTCAAACTGGACACTCAAACGTTCTTGAAGCTTCCTAGGAGATTATTATGAGAAATCTTTTACATGTATATAAATATGGGTGTTGTTTATTTGCACATATCTATTGATCCGCCGAAAAATTTTTGTGCAATCAAAAGTCGCTTTTTCGCATCAGCTATTTCATTATTTACCTTATCCAGAAGATCTGAAACGTTGTGAAAATGTAGGGATAAAATAATTCTCCGAGTCATAAAATGCTTATTTGGGAAACACTTTCATCTTTCAGAAATCCGCTCATAAAAACTGAAAATGCCCTCATCTGTTTCTTGAAATTATAGAAGTGATTTAAAGAATTATTCATATTCTTTCAGTGATAAGCTAACACTAGTTCGATTTCTTTTACATGACTTGTCACCACAGCTATTGTACGGGTCCCAGCAGTTTTCGCATTTGATTCATTGCCCTCACATTCATCTTCCACGACAGTTTTCGAAATTTTCACGTACTGTATCGGCTGCTCATCGAGGATTTAGAATTCCTTATGAATGTTGTAGAATGCTGGTTGAGTCGCATGGCCTTGCGATCTTGGAGATAGCCGACTTAGGGCTTCCAGCGTGTATTGGAAGAGAGCGTTGAGGTGTGAGTCGAACTAGCTCTTTGTTTCTTGACCGAAGGCATCACTGCTTTTTCACCGCTTCCACACATGGCTGATAAGCAACTTTATTCGGCTAACGCTTAGGCGCCTTCGTCTTCCTCAACGCCAGATCACATTCCACACACGAAGTGGACGAAGTCCATTGGATTCAATAAATTCCTCACTCAGTGGTTTATTTTGCTACAAAGTGCCTTTTTTACTTAATCGACTAGTCGTCCGACATCGGTGTTATATCCGAAGTGGCCATCGAAGAGTTATTCTCTACAATTAATATTTTACAGGACACCTTTTTCGGATGATATCGTTGGCCGGCAAATTTGCTCATAATTGACTGTTATTTCACTTCCAGTCGCCATGATGAGTAATGATTTCCGTGCCACTCTATGCCGTAGTTGCTGAAGTTCGAGTGTAGGGCATAATGTGTTAATTACAATGTATTGTCTCGCCGACTTCATCAGTGCTAATTGAATTTCTGCCGTTTTCGTGAACATCACAACCTTGTTACGAAGATTTAAATTCTATTGTCATTCCCCTTAAATAGAAGCATTTGGAGGTTCAATTCTTCTTCCACAGACCTAACTGAACTCTAGATTTCCCGGAAACGATAAAGGTTGAGCTTTCCTACAAAATGAAGAATAGTGGTGGCACTCAATAGCAAATGAGTTATATAATTGACAAGGGATAAAGATTATAACTTTCATCGATCCTTCACGGATGCGCCATGCATTCAACTTTATCAAACATCGTTAGAGGAGTTTAAATGCACATTTGATCTCTAAAGCGACTTGCAGTGGCTTACTGATGCGTCAGTAGCGTGTGGCGCAGTGATCGGAGACGCCCTCCAATGCTCACGGGATCGATTCCTGCGACCCGGCCCATCAAATCTTCCATACCCCGTGGTCGGCAAATTGGTGCCAGACTTGCCTGGAAGGATAGCAGCAGTGGCTCCATGCATCGCTAGGCCACCGCGAGTCATTGTAAAGGCCAGACATGTATTCAATCACCTCTAAACGATGTTTAATGAAGTCGAATGTATGGCGCATCCCTCAGGGATTGATCAACGGCAAGAGTTTTACACTTTTTTTTATAAAAACGATATCATCAACAAAGCGAAGACGGTGTAAGCGAAGCTCTGTAACTGAAGATATGAATAAAAGAAACTGAACCATAATCTGTTATAGGGGGGCGGGGATAGAAAATCGAATCATTAAGGGCGGTTCAGTTTATACTCAGTTCTTTTCTAAACTTTATCTTTGACCCCTAGTATCATTTATATGTGTTTTAGGTAAGAATTCTGCCGTGCCCTTTTCTGGTAGAATTTTGTTGGCGGAAGAAACCCTAAATTTTTTTATAAATTTAATCGAACAGGATTACGCGACATGTGTTTAAAACTTTCAGGGTTGATTCATTTTGTGCGGAAAACGTCACTTACACGAGAGCACGTCCTCGTCCACGTGTAGTTATTAGACAACGATTTTACAATACATCATCGATAACGACCCCATCTCCTTCATTGAGTGCTACGAGTAGAAGACCCAGTATTACCAATCCACCGCTGCTTCCCACAAAACAGTACCACAATTCTTCTTATCGGTCATCAAAAACGGAAACTATCAACATGCCCGCGCAAAACACTACACCGTTTTTCCATCGTGTAGAGGAAGGCACTTTGACTAATGCTACGACGCCCATTACCACGAGTTCTGGTACTGGTTCGATAAGCACACTGCTGATGTCAACAAGTACTGCTACATCAACAGCCACCGATCAAAGCGCTGAAATGATTTCAAATAACACATACAAAGAAACAGCGGTTCCAAGGTTGGTTTTCTGTGTTGCATAAACAAAAAGTTGAACCTCAAACTTTTTCTAAATGTGTTCACTTTTATTCTAACAGAACTTTTCCGTGCTCAAGTGATAACATTTTAAGCACTGTCAAAGCCTCCGCCTTTACGAGCGATATCATCTCAGTACAAGGAACAGAAGAAGAAAATGTGACATTAGTGGTGTGAGTGATTTCACTTTAGGTCCCAGTGGCAGAAATTTTGTGGGAATTTAAGTTGTAAGCAGTAACATCATTATAAAGCTGGTGTGAATAACTGAAATGTTCTTTGTAAGATTCGTCTTTTAGTTAAAGAGTATGTCTCGTACCTTCTCTTCAGTGGGTTTCATCTTCGTCTTCATTTTGGTTTCATTTCTGAAACGATGATTTTTCGTGATATTTGCTCGGTTCTTGTCTCTGGTTTCTTGTTAGAACATTCGAATTTCTAGAGTTATACCACTTCATCATTCTATTATCACCATTCTACAACGATATTAACATTGACGCCAAAAGAGGAGTTAGGCAAGGCGATACTATCTCGCCAAAATTATTTACCGCGGCCCTCCACAACGTCATGCGAACATTGGAATGGGATAACATGGGAGTGAAAATCGATTGTCGGCAGTTACATCATCTTCGCTTTGCTGATGACATCGTTCTTACAACACCAAACATTAGCCAAGCGGAACGTATGCCTGCCGATTTTGACAAAGCCTATGGAAAGGTTGGTCTTCGACTAAATCTCACAAAAACGATGTCCATGAGGAACGGACTGATTTCGCATGCCCCATTCACGCTCAACGAAACGAATATGTCGGAATGCTCCAGTTATGTCTATCTATGTAGGGAAATCAATGTGATAAACGACTTAGTTCCAGAGCTGAGCAGAAGGAAACGTGCGGCTTGGGGAGCTTTCGTGATCATCGAGGATTTAGTGAAGAGAACAAAGAACACCCGACTCTGTGCGCACCCTTTCGACTCAACGGTACTTCCTGCCCTAACGTATGCGTCAGGAACTTGGTCGCTGCGTAAGCAGGTTGAAAGAACATTCAGCGTTATCGAACGCGCAGCCGAAAGGGCGATACGAGGAGTATCCCGTTCCACACAAGTAAGGGATGGGGTACGAAACTCCGATCTGCGTCAACGATGAAAAATCAAAGATGCCGTTCTGTACGCCAAACAGTCGAAGATAAGGTGGGCCGGACACCTAGTGCGTATGAATGACAACCGATGGACAGGAGCCGTTAGTGACTGGTTTCCTCGGGATGTCAAACTTACTGCAGAAAGACCACCGACCCGATGGTCAGAGTTCTTCACGAAGAGCCTAGAAGAAAGATATGATACCGGCGAATCCCTAGAGCGAACAAAACCCACTGGGCCACTCTTGTACGCAACAGGGAAAAATGGAAGATTTACTGGCGCCCGCCCGACTCACTCGATGATCAACGGGTCTACAGGTGATACCAATTTCATAAAATGATCGTGTCTGTTATGTACCGTATTGCGTATCGCATTCCCAGCTCAATGATTTTGTAACATGGCATTGTTAAGCGCTTCCGAAGCCGTCAAAAAAGCTTTAACTTTGCTCGATCTAGTGGTTGTGAAGTTGATGCCTTACTGGTTCTCATTTTTATACTAATTACATGACAGCTTAATAAAACATGTTCCTTGCGTTTTTTCTTCTGAAATTATTTATATTCGCAAATGGTCACATGTAAGCAAACTGCTAAATTTCTTCCAAGTGCAAATCAGTGAGCATGGAAAGGATTTCTTTAACAATGGAAGTGCTTGTCGTGACTCTCCTTTATGCGGTTTAAAATTAACTCTGTTTTGTGGTTCGTGCAGATGATTTCGTCGCTTAAATCGAATGGTAAGAAGGGTTATGTCGTTTGCTTATCCGAGATCGCAACATCTGTCACCTGTATCACCTGTAGTCCCACTGACCGTCGAGTGACTCGAGCGGGTGCTAGTAAATCTTCCATTCTTCCGTGCCGCTTGCTAGAGTAACCCATTGGGTTCTGCTCGCTCTAACTCGTCTTTCTAGCTAAACTCAACCCATATCTTTTTAAAAAAAACTTCACAAATCGATTCAGTTTTAAAGAACTAAAGTAGGTGGCAGCCTCGATCCATGCATCATTCGAGGCGAGCATCATCTATTGCGATTCTCAGGAACTCGGGAAGTGATCGGCTGCAGTCACATTGGCGCCGCTTATGTACCTCTCGTGAAACAGGAGAAATTTCGAAAAATTGACGCGGCGCAATTTTAATTTTGTAGCTCATAGAAGTATTACACGAGTGTATAAAAGTTTATATGTTACACATGTATTACAATAATACGTATTACTAACGTTTCCTATCATACACATTACACACATTATACACACTAAAATATATTATCAACACCACATATATATATGTATTTATTTTTTTAATTGATCCGTCCTCATGTCTGCTCTCTGCAGATCCCAGCACTTCTCGCATTCGATTCGTTTTCTCGCACCCATTGTCCACGAAGATCTTCCAACTTTTACGTGTGGCTTCGGCTGGTCCTTGAGGGTTTTCATCTCATCTTAAATGTCGTGGAGTGCTGGTTGGGCAATTCTCCATGAAGTCCGGAGATAGCGGGGCTGGAGCTTCCCCAATTGGATTGCAGACAGTAATTTTTCCCCAGAAAAGTCCGCTACCAATTCCCCGACCCCGGATGGATGAGAGGCTTGGCTGACCTGAAGCAAAGTCGAACTAGCACCATGCTCGTGATGACGGGCATCACTACCACTGTGCTATCCGCCCTCTAATGCAAGAAGTGTGTACTGGAAATATTACTGTTTGTGCGTAGTCTAAAAACTGTAGAAGTGCTAATTATAAAAATTCTTGGCTGTAATAAAAAAGCTTTTCAGTACAACGTTTAAAACTCCATTGAAGGGTTCTGAGAATAATCATTGGAAATTTGTAACATTTATAAAGGTGTGCTGTATACGTTGATGAACATACATTCTATGCACTAGTTCTTCTGCATATTAAAAGTCTTTTCAGTAACTCATCTTCTTATCGTAGCTACAATGGCCTTCATAGTTTTCAACTTCGACGTGCAAGACATTATTTATATTATTATTATCATATTATTATTTATTATTATTTTTAATTATTTCGACTGGAATTCAGTTTTCGTCGTGCTAGGGTTCTCCCTTGAATACTAAAATGCAGCTACAAGGGCAAACACAAATAGTCGTCAACTCTTATGTATTAGAAGCTGATTCCTTTGAAATGTACCACTAAACCACAAATCTAAGTATTCAATAATGCGGAAGCGCAGACGAGTATGCATCATATGCAGAAATTTCTTCATTAATTCCCGCCTGTGGAATCACCCTTGATTGGTTGGCCGATTGGTCAACTGAATCTCTGTCATCTCCTGAGATTCTTAGTCACAAAGTTGCTAACCAAGCTTAGATTTGCAATAACCTACTACATTTTTTGGCGAAGATCAACCACTGTCGTGACATGACAGCCCTGCGATGTCGGAGAAAACCACAGTCATCAAACAGGTGAAATAACAGAGACACCTTTTCAACTCCATGGGTAATGGTCACACGACGAAACGAAATCTTATCACCACACTTCGCCATTTTCATACTCCATCAAAAAACTCGGTTTCATTGACTGCTTGTCCCCAAATTGCATAGCTTATGAAAGCGGATATAAAAATACATTCGCAGACCTGAAAACTGTTGGATGAAATTGCAGTTTTGCTATTGCCTACGAATCATTTTTGGCGTGGTCGAATCGAAGGCCTTTCAGGACAAGTCATTTATGAAAAATGGCAGAGCTTCTTTATTAAATCAAACAAATGTCCTAAACTCAAGTTAGCAATGCGTAGTTACATTGGACCTCCCAAAGATTCATCGTCTCATCGTGGCTAGGAGGTGTTCCTGGGTGTCAGGCTGCGATGTACACTGGGGAGACTTGTTCCCCAGCAAAGTTTTCCAAGCTGACAAGGAGTACGGCGTTTCCATTAGGAAGCCCAGCTAAGAGTAAACCAGCACCAGGATCCACCACGTTTTGGTATGAAGCTCGCCGCATGGCGACAAATCTCCCTCTGATCCACAAAGGCTTGCGTTTGCCTGTGGTGGTGAAGACCAGGAGCAGACTTTGGCTAGGCACGACAGGAAATGCACTGTTAAATGTAAGAGGAAGATTAGCACTAAAGGCACTCGTTGCTGGAAGCATTATTGTTTAAAATGTTTCAGTAGATGTTATGCAAGGTACAATCTTCTAAGTGAGGAATGTTTACTTCAGGAAACAACTACAAGTTCTAAGTGAGGATTACTGTGTGTAAGTAAGGATTCAAAGTTAATAGTGAAGATTGCAAGTGCTTCTGGTGCGCATGAATGGTCAAAAAATGATCCTGATCGTAGGCAAGAATTGCAAATTGTTATTATTAATAGTAGGAGAAGTATAGCATAGTGGTAGTGATGTCCGTCATCACCAGCATAGTGCTAGTTCGATTCCGCTCAGGATCAACTAATTCCCTCATGTCTCCGCGGCCAGAAAATTGGTACCGGACTGAGAAAAAATCCCTCTCTGCAATCTAACTGGGAACGCTCCAGCTCGGCTATCTCAGGACTCCAGCGAGAATTGCTCGATCAGCATTGTACGACATTCAAGATGAAGTGAAAATCCTCAAGCAGCAACCAAAGCCACACGTAAAAGTTGGAAGATCTTCGTGGACAGCGGAAGCGAGTAAACAAATTGGATATGAGATGTAATGGTATCCGCACAGGAGATATGAAGACGGATAAAATAAAATAAAAAAAAATTAAGTGTTGTTACTAGTTATCATTGCTACATTACATGCAATATATATTAGATCTACATAGAGTATATGTTTAAAAACAATAATCTACGGATTAGAAAAGAAATGCGATGCAGTCATGTTGCTAAGACTTGGTAACTGTTGAGAAAGAAGCTATGTTGAGCCCTAAAGAACGCTTGGTGGACATCAATCGATTTTGGAGAAGTCTCCTCAATGATTTATCAATTCTATTCACCTGTATCACCTGTAGTTCTGTTGATCGTCGAGTGACTTGAGCGGGGGTCAGTAAATCTTCCATTTTTCCCTGTCATGTATAAGAGTAGCCCAGTGGGTTCTGCTCGCCCTCGACTCCCTGAGCATTAT